TCTCTCTCTCTGTCTCATTGTGTCATACGGATTACTGTTAATTTATCATGTTGATCTGTTCTGTACGACATCTATTGCACGTCTGTCCGTCCTGGAAGAGGGATCCCTCCTCAGTTGCTCTTCCTGAGGTTTCTACCGTTTTTTTTCCCCGTTAAAGGGTTTTTTTTTTTTGGGGGAGTTTTTCCTTATCCGCTGTGAGGGTCTTAAGGACAGAGGGATGTCGTATGCTGTAAAGCCCTGTGAGGCAAATTGTGATTTGTGATATTGGGCTTTATAAATAAAATTGATTGATTGATTGACATTCACCTGAACACCAAGTCAGGCAAAATCTCTGTTTTAGTGCTGTTGGATTTGCTATAGTGGGCCACACAATTTTGTTACAGAGACTAGAAAACTGGGTTGGGCTCTCTGGAACTGTCCTTAGGGTTAAGTCATATCTTCATGACAGGAAGTACTTTGTCTCAATTAGTAACTATAAGTCAGAGCAGATGGCCTTAACATGAAGGGTCCCCCTCTCGTTTAATCACTATATGCTTCTATCAGGCCAAATCATACAAATTAATAAAGTCGACTACCATGATTATGAAGATGACACGCAAATATTCATATTGCTTTCATCAGGTTATTACAGATCTGTAGAATGTCTTTGGCATTGTACTGAGCAAATCTATGATTAGATGCATCAACATTTTCTCAAGACCGACATAATAACTAAGAGTTAAGCAACCAACCTTGGTGTTATCCTGGACCCACATCAAATCTGCCTACTACCATTTAAAAAAAAACATTGCTAGAGTCAGAGGAATAATGTCAAAGCAAGACCTTGAAAGGCTTACAAATGCCTTTATTTCCAGTAGATTAGATGACTGCAACGGCCTGTTTGTAGGCCTTTAAAACAAGCTCTTTGGCAACTTCAACTTGCTCAGAATGCTGCTGCTCAGGTCCTGACAAAAACTAGGAAAATATGACCACATTGGTCCAGTTCTAAAATCCTTACACTGGCTACCTGTCACTCAGAGAAGCAATTTGAAAATCTTGTTGCCTGTGTATAAATCACTCTGTGGTTCAGCGCCCTAATGTATCTGACATGCTTGTGACATATGAACCTTCTAGGAGCCTTAGGACATCTGTGGCGGGCCTACTGACCGTCCCAAGAGTTAGAACAAAACATGGTGAAGCAGCATCTTGTTATCATGCAGCACAAACCTGGAATAAATCTCTCAGATGATGTCAGACAGCCCAGACTCTGACCACTTTTAAGTCAAAGATAAAAACATTTCTTTTTTAGACTACCTACTCCACCCTGTAATGAATGCAAAAGTATATTAAAACTTTTTTTCAGATTTTAAGTAGTCAATTTGTTTTTCTTTGCACCTCTTGTCTGCACTTTCGCTACTTTTAATTTAATTTATTCTTTTTAACTGAAAGTCATTAAGTTATCTTTTTTCTCCTTCCTCCTGTATTGTAAATATGTATCCTTTGGTATGTTTTATGTTTAGTGCTCTGTAAAGCACTTTGAATTGTCCTGGTGTATGAAGTGTTATACAAATACAGCTGCCTTGCCTATGGTGTATCATAAAAACTCAAAAAAGTCAGACTGACTTTTTTATGACTTATATCATGACACTATATTACACTAGTGTAATATAGTGATATAAGTCATAAAAAAAAGTCAGTGTAAGCCTAGCAATAGTCTGGTGGGTGTACCCTGCCTCTCACCCTGTGTCAGCTGGGATAGGCTCACTTCTATAGTCTTGACAGCTCATTTAAAGGCACATTTTCTGAATACAGACCATGTTAATTTCTTGGAGTAGCCTACTAAGCATTTTGATATTTCAAAGTATTCATATATTAGCCATAGGCCTTCCTGCTTCATTATAAATACACATTGTAATCATAGGCTACTTTTCATAATATGGGACTTTTAAATGGCCCACACTAGCCACTGAGGCCAGTAGCCTACTATACTTTAATGATAGTGAAACATTAGCTTGTTGGAGAACGTAACAGATAAGGCAGCTTAATTTTTATTTTGATTTACAAACCTGTAGCGCAAATCCAAGAGGCACTTAACGTTACTTAAATAAAATGTTAACTTTTACTAACAGTTCACACGAGAAATAGTTCAATACTTTTAAACAAAAAAGGGTCAATTTGAAATAAATAAGCATTACTTGGTTTGTTAAATGCATGCCGAATTAAATGATATGCTCAAAGGATTCATTGATAATAGGTAAGGTAACGTTAAGTATCTTTATTGCAGTATAAGCAACATTTATTTATTTATTTTCCACTGTTTCTTCATGTTTGTCCTCGCGAGCGTTGTATCCCGGTCCGCCCCCACCCCCAACCCCCTCCATACTCCGTTAAATGGAGGTCGGGTTCTTCAAGAATAAGATAAACGTGCATTTATTCTATGGTGATAAAGCTAATGTCGGTCAGACTAATGTGGCAGACACATTGTCAGTGTTTCCTGAGCGGGCTCGTGAAGCCTGTGTCGGTGTTTGGCTCTGAACGTCGTGTTGTGTGTCGGTACTCACAGCACTGCAGGTAAATAAAGCGCAACTTCCAGTGTTTATCCTGGTTTTTCCGCGTGATTTTGATGGACAGAGTGCTAAGACTGTTGTCGGGGATGGGACAGGGGCTTGTTTGGATTCTTATCTCCTCTGCATCGGTCGCCATCATTTTCATTACCCTCTCTCTCTCCCCCCCTTCACCTCCTCTCTCTGCCACTCTCCTCCTCTCCCGCCCCTCTCTTTCGCGGCGCGTGAACGCGCACGGTCCTCCGGATGCTGCACGCGCCCGACGATGCTTCCTGGTCCTGTTTGAGGATGAGCAACGTGCAGCTTCAGGGCATTAAAATGACAACCATAGCCTAATTTAACATACAGACAGGGAGCAGTCTGCTGGGTTACATGCAGCATCCGCAGCTACAGATTATACAGACGACTCTCTGTCCAAAAGCCACAGACACTTCAGTTCACTAAACCACAGAGTGCAGCTGGAATGGTTCACAGACACAAGTAGTGACACAAATTAAACCCTTTTACTATTAACTTTACAGCAGCTCATTAGGTATGAATAAACATTAAGTGTAATGGTCCCACGTTGCTCGATAATAAACTCTCAGAAAACTACAAAATAGGGACTCAGAGGAGACAGGAAATATTTTTTTGCCACAAATTACATTTCTTGTTCAAATCTATCTTACCTGGTCCAAGTGACAGCTATGCTTCCACTCCAGTGATGGATTTAAACTAAGTACTTGTTTCCATTTAATGCCACTTAATACTTCCACTCCACTATAATTCAGAAGCAAAATGTTATAATTTTTACTCTGCTAGAACTTTAGTCACAACAGATTTAAATACAACCTTGTTTTTGCTCCCATTTTTCACAGGCTTAGGTAAAAGATCCAAGGCTCTTTTATGCACTCTATATTTCTCTCAAATTTTGGTCACAAATTTGTTAAAATCTGTATTAGTGAGCACTTCTCCTTTTCCAAGATAATCCATCCACCTGACAAGTGTGGCATATCAAGATGCTGATTAAACAACATCATTACTACACAGGTGTGGCTTGGGTGGTCACAGTAAAGGGCCGCTCTAAAATGTGCAGTTTATCACAGAACACACTGGGCCTCGTGCAGCTACGGGGACAGCGTTAAGGGTGGGGGTGGGTGGGGTTCTCTATAGCTGATGTAACGTGAATTGCTCCTGTGTGAGATCAATAAAGTTCTTATCTTAGCCATCTGAGAAGATCAAATACATTGTTTTTGGTGCCTAACTGTTTCCCAAGTATATTAGTGCATGTGTGAATGAATAAATGAGAAGCATTAACGTAAATTTCTGTGAAGAAAGGCGCTTTATGAAATTAAGTCCATTCACTTGTATTAGTTTACAGCGCAGCCTTGCCACATCCAATATGGCAGCGACGTTGACGTACGGCTCAGCGATCGATGCGGCGTCTATGTATATATGTCTATGCAATACATAATTATTATCTCTTTTATCCAATAGACGAATTCGCCGAGCGATTTGTGTATGCCGCCATCTTGCGGTGGCGCCATTACTGCGGTGACATGTGTCAGTCATCAATTCCTAATGCTGTCAGTGTGAACCATATGACAGCATCATGAATAGCTGGATTGATGTTAGACAGTTAGCTTCTCTGTCAGTGTACTGCAGGATGCGCGTTCAAGTTTGTGGGGGCGTGGCTTTGGATGGAGCACTGACAGGAGGGGGAGGAGGGGAAGGGCAGCTTAGAGGAGGTGCCACTTTCAAATCTTGCTAGCTCTCCAACATTACCAACTATAGCATTAAGTGCTACCTGTGGAATAGCACCCGTGGATGACCTTGGGACCGACCAGCCCAACCAAATTGGTTGGGTCTACCCAAAACAGACACTGTTTTGTTGGAGCTAAATGAAGCTGGATTGTACACATCGAAGATTCTTAGATTCTTAGAAGACTGAAAACTGGGGGTCTCGGTTCACTTGCAAATGAACCCTGGTGCAGTTTGCTTACAGTGGGAAATGCAAACGGACTATCCGGCGAACCAAAGAGAGGAAGTGAACCAAAGAGAGGAAGTGACATAGAGCGCAGTGCATTCTGGGTAGAAAAATAACGAAGCCAACGATGCAAGCCGGGAGACGCAGAGGTAAAAAAGAAAAAGTTGGAAAATGTCTCGTGGGCAGACGTGGAGTAGTGCAGAGGTGCAGGAGCTTATTGATATATGGTCATATATGGGCTCCATTGTTTTTGTGGTGACCAAACCGGCTGAAGGGAATGGATTTCCATTTTCGGTCCTGGCCAGTCGATGAGCTGGGTTTTCTTCTTCCTCATGCTTTTATTTCTTCAGTAGTTGTTTCGGGTAATACCACCCCAAACAAGCAGCTGTTGTAACTGCGTGACGTTGTCCAGGTGGTTTGGTCCGCTTTAAAAAGTGCAGTGTGAAAGTGAACTGAACCAAATGAAGCTATGAAATTTTTTGGCATTCCCTGCCCAATGGAAACAAGTCCTCCGGACTATCCTGGTGTGAATGTGCCCTTATTATATGCTAACTTGGTGCATGCAGTTCTTGCCCTGCTGGATCCATCAAACAAGATTCTTCATAGAGAGGACGCTGTCTTGATGACAGGTTTAAGTATCTTAGCTAGCGCAACAGCCTGTGTACGAGCACCTCGCTGAGACCCATAATTTCCAAAAAGAGGTGCCAAGCGGCCACAAATATGGATAGGTATGTCGTTGTGGGAACCAAAGGACACAGGGATGATGATGACACAGCAGAACTGGAAGACACTGTACTACAACACTACTGATTCAGTACTTGGAGAAATGGACGACAGATTCAGCAAGCGCAACTCAGAGTTGGCCCGTGCACTTGTTGCACTGAACCCAGAAAGTGACACATTTCTGGATGTGAAAGCTGTGAAACACATTATGGACTTTCCATGGTTGCCTGTTTTTGAGATGGAGCCTGAGGTTGCTAAACAATCGCAGCCATTCGAGGAGGAATGGACTGTACAGCACATCATCTCCAAATACCACTTGCATCTCACTGCAATGTCCAGTGTTTTTACTGCTCTCAAACATGCTTTAACATTTGGAGCCTCCATAGCCATGTGTGAGAACTCATTCTCCACCCTGAGAAACATATTTTCGGACCACAGACTCGTAATGCTCCACAAAAGAAAGGTCCACTTGGTTCAGCTGACGTTTGAAAGGAACTTAACCAGAAAGTGTACAACTGAGTGGAAGGACACTGTCCTTAGGAGGTTCAGCACCAACAGTCGCTGCTTGCAGCTCTTCCAAAGGTAGGACATGCATTTAATTCACTTCATGGCACCAGCCTTGGCTTTCATTATTACACAAAATGTGGAATGTTTGGGGCTGTAAAAATCCAGTCAGTGGAGATTCGCCGTTTCAAATGATGACGCGTATAGTGGACCATGTTTGTGTATTGTATGAGAGAGAGATGGAGAGGGCGACGGAGGGAGAGAGAGGGAGAGACGTGGTTTGCACATCGACCTTTTTTGCAGTTTGGGTTCGCAATACACTGTGTGTGTGTGTGTGTGTGTGTGTGCATTAAAAAGAGTGACTTTGCAGAATGTTTTGTAATTGGAGCTGATGTGGTGTGTTGGTTGTTGATGGCAAACTCATATTAAGAAACATTTACATCATATATTGAGTTCTTCAAATGCAGTTTGTGCCCCCCCCCCCCCAACGTTCTGCCAACGACTCTTTGCAGCAACATTCGTTTAAATAACTCATATTTTTTACCTTAATTTTCTGGTTAGACAAAAACAAATAAGAGGAGTCAGCTCCAGATGCACCAAATGTTCTCAACCATCCAAATCTGCTCCCACCCAGATGCGCTGAATCATGAATCCCACTGGATCATAAGTCACCAATTAGCATAGGTAACGCCCCCTAAGAATTATACGGGCAGGTGTTGTGCTGTGTTCAGAGACTCTGGAATGTGCCCAAGAATTGGTGAGAAGTCACTGAAAAGGCTGTAAGAGGAACAAGAAGTTCAGCAATAGAGAAACTAAAGTACTGTGAAATAAACTTAAAGTAAAGATGTGATTTTCCAGAGTGTCAGTACTGGTGTTATAGAAAAAATCAAATGCCCAGAGATGACAAAACATTTGTGATGCTGTAATGTCATGTCAGCAGCAGTGGTGGAGGGAGTATTCAGATCCTTTACTTAATCTTACATAGGTAAAAATATGTAAGTACAATCAGGGAAATGTATGTAAGTATTAAAAGTAAAATAACGAATGCAGAAAAGTTTAAATATATGTAATAAATAAAAATTATTTAAAAAAAAGCAGCAAGCTGTCATATTTGAGAAGCTGGAACTATGTTTTTTGACAATTGACAATTGATTTAAATGATTATCAAATAGATGCAAATTAATTTTTTAATCAGTCAACTAATCATTTCAGCTGCACTTGAATATTTTCATATGATTTGTGCCCAAAAATCTCATTTGTAAAGTAACTAAAGTTATCAAAATACTGTGATGGAGTAAAATGTAGAATATTTTTCTCTGAAGTGTAGTGGAGTCGAAGTAAAACGTGGCATGAGATTAAAATAGTCAAGTAAAATAAAAGTACCTCAAGTACAGTACAGTACTAACATAAATGTACTAAGTTACATTCCACCACTGGTCAGCAGAGGGACGCACAGTAACTGAAAACACAGTTATTGGAATCAATGGATCAATATAGTAGAATTTCTTTATCCCTAAAATAAATAATCCAATCATTATGCCAAACTATAGACTGAACTACACCCAACAACGGTATCACCTGCAAAAGGAAGTGTGCATTTACTCACAGACGAGAGGCTCATGATCCTAACAATGTGAGATGTATTTATTAATGGCATCCTCCTCGGCAGCTAGCTCTGTGGTGCTAAGTGAGCTAGCAGTAGATGCATGCTTCCTTCTGTTGGGTGATACAGTTGGCGGGTGTAATTCAATAGAAAGAAAACAGTTCCTACATGAAACTGTTCACAACAAGGTCTATGGATTATTTTGAGTGACCAGGTCGTGATTTCTGGAAGAGACATTGCTGTTTAGTTTTTAAACTGTTTTTTTGGTGCTTTGAGTGCCAGTTAGTTCCATTAAATTAGAGAGAGGGAAGACATCTCTATGGATGATATCTCCAACACCCTGCAACTCACACCAAAACAATCTCAACTGATAAATAGCACTACAGTTAAAGAGAAATTAAGAA